CGGTCAGCTTCGGCTTGTGTACGTGGACTCGAAGGCCAACACTGCTGATATCTTCACCAAGGCGCTCCCGCCTAGTGATCATCAGCGACACTGTACTTCTTTAGGCCTTGTGTCCACATTCCCTCATTTGCTTACTGCTTGACTTTCTTTGTACTGTACTTTATATATATCTTGTTGCTTGCTTGCTAGGTTTTGATCACTATGTTGCTTGTCTTGTACTATATCTAGCACTGCATGTGAACTGGCCTTGTGCCCTTTGCTTGTGCTCGGAGTGTGGTGACGTTGTGATCCACCCTGGGCTTGCGTTGCTTTGCTAGACTGGTCTTGTGACCCTTTGTTCTCCCCCACTTTGCCTATGGGGTGTGTCAAATTGTAATGTGTTATATGTTGGTAGGCTGTAGTGGGGTAGCCAATATGGGGTACAACCCCAACTAGGGTTTGCTACTTGTACCCAACTGTTTCATTCAATGCACCATTCTTGCCTAGTTCTGTTGATAATATGGGGTAAAGATGTCAGTTGAGAGAGGGTCTAAAATTTCCAATTCAGCCTTTGATTTTAATAGCAACAAGCGTTTGTGCGGATGACTTGTGTTGATGAATGTTACACCACGGCTTGACTTTTTGTAAGGAAGACTTAATATAAGATATATTGCTTCTTGTGCGCTAATTTCTTGATTGTTCAAGATAAAATTTCCAATATCTCGAAGGACATGTAACACACCTGTACCTTGTACAGCAGCAAATTTCTTAGCATTTTGTATAAATTTACTAATTCCTTTGCCAGATTTTGTCATGTATGCTGCAATATACGTTGCCACGCCATACGGATCGATACATAATTGAATATCCATATTTCCTTGCCATACTGACAAGATCGTTTTGTTTGAAATTATTCACAAAACAATCTTTTACGTCTCTTGCATGAAATAGTGTACGCCTTTTTAAACCAATTCGTAAACAGTTTATATATTCATCGTACGACAGTCGTAATGTATTTAGAAATTCTGGAAACGACAGCTCACACGTATCAATTAGATGTTTTTTTGCAAGAACATCTAAAAAATCATCCACAATCTTTTTGTTGGATCGGTGCACATCCTCATCATTATTGGATTCACCCCTTTTTTTAAACGGTACTAAAACCAAAGTGTTTGGGATAGGATATTTTGGTATCCCAAAACGACATACCCGTGATGATCCACGCCTTTTCATTTTACACGTTCGAGTGTGAAAATGAGTTTGTATTTTTAAAAGATCCTTCGTTGTAGGATCTTTTGCAAGATCGTGGCCATGGCATGATATGTGTCTATCGGCAAAGGCTAAGATATTTTCGAGTGGAATCGAAGTGTCGCACGCAGAAAACTCGCTCCAAATTAAACAATGAGAATGAGGAGCACCTCGATGTTGAAATTCGTCGAGAACAAAATAATCTAACACGTTGCCCAAAATACCCGTTTTATGCGATAAAATTTCTCGAAAAAGTGCATTTTTTCGTTCAACATAATATTGGGCACTAACTACAGGATATGTACGTACTAATATTGCTATATTTTCAAAGTCTAACGGAAGATTCATAGTTGTGTTTGCAAGGTTGGCAAGGTTTCCAGTATTTCTATTATGTTCCAATAATATTGAATGTAAATCGATCCATTTTGTATCAGCCATTGATACTGTTAAAAAAAATGTTGGGGGGCCTAATTGCCGAATCATTGCGAACAAATCTTTTCTACAGTTTTCCAAGTACTGCGGAGAAACACGAAGACTCTTAATCTCATTAAATAACACATCTTTCCTTTGAAGATGTTTGCGTGTATCATTGTTTAGGAGATCCTTTGCCGAATATCCATTAACGTGCTCAATCATTTCTCGTCGCACTCGCGTTCCTATCACATTATCCATTTGTTGCAATTCTAATTTATACAATTTGAAAAATATATTTTGCGGACAAGTTGAAAATCGCGCGTCTTTGTGCAATACCTCCCACTTCGCAATATCACGATAACTTAATGCAGATTTATCGACATTCGACAAACGAGCCTCTCCGCAAAATAAAGTAGGAAATGCCAACTCTTCAACATATTTATCCATCAAAATGGGTAATGGTCTAGCTCCTTCCCCAGGAGCCATTTCTACAATATGTTGTTCCAAACTTTGGTAAAATGGCTCATTACATATAATTGTATCTAACATTCCGACATTTAGATCTCGCTCGTCAACGTCTGCTTCAATTTCATCGTCTGTACTGTTTCCGTCATTATCATTTTTTGTTTTGCACTTATCAGAATCACTGTACGAAACAAAATCGTTATGCCGGGTCATCTCATCAATTTCCGATTCCAACTCACGTAATCGATCGGAATCTAAAGCGATGCCAAATTTTGTGAAAAGTTCTTTCTTTTCCAAAAAAGAAAGTGCACGTGAAATTTTGCTAGGTCGAACGTTATCGTCATACACGTTATGCGCATTGTTCAATTTCCGCTTAAAGCGAACACGTACAGTTTGTGCTTCTTGGGGTAGACGTGGGAGAGCAGTCACCATGTCAACAACTTTGACGGGCACATTCACAACCCCTCCTCGAATTTTATATTGTTTTCCAACGTGCGCTTGTGTTATATTTGAGAACACAATGCGAGGTGAGACTAGTCGTTCTTCTAAATATGTCAATCCTTTTAGATCATTAGGTCTTACAGGCAAGACTGCTCCCCCGAGTCGTGACAACGTTGGTACATTGTTGCGTACCAATCCTTGTTTGCAACCATTGCAAACTTCATTAACTTGAGGATATGATTCAACATTTACTTTGAATAATTGTCTCTTGAAGTATAACTTGTCGCAACATTGACAAGGATGAATAGGACCTTCTTTAGAGGATTTTTTGAATCGTTTGATTGCTGCTTTCAAGCAATCAGATTCTTTTGTTTCCTCATCATATCGCATCGTCACATCACGAAATAACTCATCCAAGAACTCATCTTGGATAAGCTTACCCTTATCATAAAAAGTTTCAGCGTTAAATGGTAATTTTTTTGGACAATTTGGACCAAAAATTAAGTGTAAAAGATATTGCCTTGCATGCGCCGCAAATTTTTTTGAGTCCCACTTCTCGTACATATAGCTTTTGCCACGCACCTTCAATGTGAAACCATAGTTCTCACATCCTTCATAAACTCCGACATAATTTTCGGCTTCTTGTGCCAAGTCGTCAATACTATTCAATTCAAAAATAGTATCAAGAAACACATTAGGCACAAGCTTACCGTTTTTCACAAAAAACTTTGAATCAAACGGAAAACGCTCTTTTGTTTGGCATCCACGAGATCTTAGAATAGCATACTGCCGTGCCCAAGCAGCATAATATTATGTTGAAAAACCGTTGACAACTTTATTCTTACGATTTAGCATTAATCTCACCGTAAAAGTGGAACCACGTTTTATGACTCCCACAAATTTGGCGTCTTTGATTTGTATTTTGGGAATGGTGAAATGAATACCACCATTTGAATCAATTCTACCGTCCGAAATATCATGTACGTCAATATCATTCGGTGTTTCACTTTCATAAGCAAGTTGACCCTCGCTTGATTTTTCACTTAATTCCTCATTTGAAAATAATTGAGGCGCATTTACATCATCAAAATGTGTTGATGAAATGTTTATTGTATCCCTTTCACTTCTTGTTTCGTCTTCAACATTTCCAACAAATGACTCACCAAATATTTCACCTCCACTACACTCTTCAAGAAGAGTGTAGTGGTTGTTTGACAATAACAAATGGACATGATCGCCATTGTCCACAAATTCCATGCCTTCACATTGTGCCCACTCTTTATTATTTAACCATATGATAATTGATTTCTTATAAATTTCACTAAACGCCTTAAGCTCGCATGCTGAACCCCATACAGAGGGTTGCTCAATATATCTAATATACCTTGTTAAACTGTAGTATGCTTGTAGGCTGTAGTGGGGTAGCCAATATGGGGTACAACCCCAACTAGGGTTTCATATTTGTACCCAAACTTCTGCTAGTTCATCCATTCTTGGCTAGTTATTCTGAAATGGTATCAGAGCAGGAGGTCCCTAGGACCTACCGACCGTTTTTTTTTTAAGGGCCCACCACCGCTCGCATGCGGTTACCACGCTACCCCGTGCCCTAGCCTCGTAGCGCCCTCGTGCGCCCTCGTTAGCGCCCTCGCGCGCCCCTCGTTAGCGCCCTCGCGCGCACCCTCGTTAGCGCCCTCGCGCGCCCCTCGTTAGCGCCCTCGCGCGCCCCTTGCTAGCGCCCTCGCGCGCCCCTCACTAGCGCCCTCGCGCGCCCCTTGCAGTGTCGCCCGCCCGCCGAGCCGCCCGCTCGCAGCCCGCTCGTCCCGCTGCCCGCTTCGCAGCCCGCCCGCCCGCTCGCTGCCCGCTTCGCGGCCCGCCCGCTTCGCAGCCCGCTCGCCCCGCTGCCCGCTTCGCAGCCCACCAGCCTGCTCGCTGCCCGCTTCGCGGCCCGCCCGCTTCGCAGCCCGCCCGCCCGCTCGCTGCCCGCTTCGCGGCCCGCCCGCCTCGCAGCCCGCTCGCCCCGCTGCCCGCTTCGCAGCCCGCTCGCTCGCTGCCCGCTTCGCGGCCCGCCCGCTTCGCAGCCCGCCCGCCCGCTCGCTGCCCGCTTCGCGGCCCGCCCGCTTCGCAGCCCGCTCGCCCCGCTGCCCGCTTCGCAGCCCGCCCGCCTGCTTGCTGCCCGCTTCGCGGCCCGCCCACTTCGCTGCCCGCTCGCAGCGCCGCCCCCCCCCCCGCCCGCTACCTGCTTCGCAGTGTCGCCCGCTCGCCCGCTGCCCGCTTCGCAGCGTCGCCCGCTCACTTGCAGCCCGCCCGCCGCACTTCCCGCCTGCAGCGCCGCCCGCCTCGCCTGCTGCTCCCTGCCTGTGCACCGCCGCTTGCTCCTGCTGTGGCTGCTAGCTTCGCTCTAGCGCGTCCCCTCTGCTGCTGCCGCTGCTCTGCTGTGCCCTCACGCCTGAGCTATGGCCTCTATTCGTGTTCTTTCCTTCGATGCTGAGGGCCGTCCCGTGCAGTTCACTTCCTGGCTCGACGACCTGCAGTTGTACCTTATGAGCAATAGCACGGACCACATCTCCCTCTATGACTACGCGTCTGGTGCTGCCGCTGCTCCTGCTGCCACAGCCGAGCTTAGTGTTCGTTCCCACTGGCAGACTCGTGACGCAGCTGCTCGCCTAGCCATTCGCAGTCACCTGCCGCTAGCTGAGCTCGAGCATTTTGGCGACTGCAAATCCGCTAAGGCCCTGTACGATGCTGTCGTTGCTCGCTACTCCTCGCCTGCCACAGCCGAGCTTAGCCGCCTCATGCTGCCGTACCTGTTCCCCGATCTGTCCACCTTTGCTACAGTCGCCGATCTTATCACCCACCTTCGCACTAGTGATGCTCGCCTGCGTGCCGCCCTTCCCACCGAGTTCTGCGCTAAGAACCCCCCTCCACTGTACTGGACACTCCACTTCATAGTCACCCGTCTCCCTGACACCCTCAGCTCAGTTCGAGACCACTTCCTTGCTCGCTGTCCCACTGAGCTCACAGTCACCCTCCTAGAGGAGCAGCTGCTCGCGGCCGAAAAGAGCATTGTAGCTGTCGGTGCTGCTCGTGGCGCTCCTCGCACCCCCATCTTTGAGGGGTGTTCTCCCTCTCCCCTCGCTCCCTCCTACGCTGCTGCTGCTGCTGTTGACTTCCTTGGTGCTGAGTCTGTTGGCGCTGCTTCTGCTCCTGGTGGGAGGCGCCGCACCGGCAAGGGCAAGGGGGGCAAGGGTGGTGGTGGTGGCGCTGGGGGGGGAGGAGGTGGGGGAGGTGGGGGGGGAGGCGGTGCTGGAGGGAGCGGTGGCGGGAGCGCTGGTGGGAGTGGGGTCGGTGGTGGAGGCGGGGGCGGCGGCGGAAGCAGTGGCAGTAGTGGCGGCGGCGGCGGCGGCGGTGGCGGCGGCGGCGGTGGTGGCGGTGGTGGCGGTGGCGGTCGGAGCGGTGGTAGTGGTGGCGGCGGAGGTCGGAGTGGAGGCACTGGCTCGGGCCAGAGCTCCCAGCAGCAGCAGCGTCCCCAGACGACCCAGCAGCTTCGTGAGTGGCTTGCTCAGCGTGGGACGTCGGGGGGCAGTGGCCGCTGTTCTTATGTCATTCGCACAGGTGACCGCAAGGGACAGACGTGTGGGAGGTTCCACACCCCGTACCGCTGCTTCTCCCGCCTTGACGACGCTTGGCGTGAGGAGATGGGTGCGGATGTTGAGCGCCCCCGCTGGGCTGAGCTCATGAGGGCTGGTGTTGATGTCTTTGCACTTGACTTGGATGCTATTATTGCTGCCATGTATGCATTGACTGTTAGTGCCGAGGGAGACTGTTACTTGTGTGTGCCGCCTGACCCAGGTATAGAGCCCGCTGCCCTGGGTACTAGTGAGTCTGCTCTCTCTGGTATGGTGCCCCCTGTACTTGCTCCCTCCAGTGCTGTCCCGGCTGTTTTCGAGTCTGCTCTCTCAGGTACAGCACCCACAGAGACTGCTCTCTCAGGTACCGCACCGGCTGAGGCCTGTCACACCTTCACCCTTGACTCAGGTGCTTCCCGTTGCTTCTTTCGTGACAGTACTGAGCTCACACCGCTTCCTGCACCGGTCCCAGTCTCCTTGGCTGACCCCTCTGGGGGCCCAGTCCTTGCCCAGTCCACCACTGTCCTCCCTTGTCCGGCGGCTCCGTCTGGCTCGTTGTCGGGTTTCCACCTCCCCTCGTTCTCGACGAACCTGGTGAGCAACGCTGTCCTCCAGGATCAGTGGGTTGACACCTTTACCCTTGGAGGACAGCGTGTGGCGATCTGCACGTGCTCCAGGACCGGCCGTCACCTGGCTACGTTTACCCGTCGGCCGGGGTCGAGTCTCTACACACTGACCACTGCGTCTCCTCAGGTCGCTGCTGTCGGTCAGGTGTCTGCGTCAGGTCTGGTAGCCCACGCCTGTGAGTGTCGTTCCCTGTCGCACCAGACTCTTCTCTGGCACCACCGCCTGGGTCACCCCTCCTTGCCACGCCTTCGTGGCATGCACCGTCGCCACCTTGTGTCTGGTCTTCCCAGGTCCCTCCCTCCCCTCCCTGCCTCGCCTGCGCCGCCTTGCCTTCCTTGCGTCGAGGGGCGGCAGCGCGCCGCTCCTCACTCCTCCTCGTTCCCCCCGACAGAGGCTCCTCTGGAGACCCTCCACCTGGACGTGTGGGGCCCAGCCCGCGTTCGTGGTCAGGGCGGTGAGCGGTACTTTTTGCTGGTTGTCGACGACTACTCGCGTTACACCACGGTCTTCCCCTTGCGCACCAAGGGTGAGGTCCCTGCTGTTCTGATCCCTTGGATCCGCACAGTTCGTCTCCAGCTCCGCCGCCGTTTCCGGACGGATCTTCCTGTCCTGCGTCTGCACTCTGACAGAGGTGGTGAGTTCTCCTCCGATCTCTTGAGGACCTTCTGTCAGGCGGAGGGCATCGAGCAGACCTTCACGCTTCCGGACTCCCCACAGCAGAATGGGGTTGCTGAGCACCGCATTGGCCTGGTCATGGAGGTCGCTCGTACCTCCTTGGTCCACGCGGCGGCTCCCCATTTTCTGTGGCCGTTTGCTGTCCGGTACGCCGCGCATCAGCTCAACCTCTGGCCCCATGTCTCCTTGCCGGAGACCTCGCCCACACTGCGTTGGACGGGGGAGGTTGGCGATGCGTCGCGCTTCCGGGTGTGGGGTGCTCGTGCCCTTGTCCGCGATACGTCCGCGGACAAGCTCTCCTCCCGCACGCTTCCCTGTGTCTTCCTTGGCTTTGTCCCTGACGCGCCTGGCTGGCAGTTTTACCACCCCACCTCGCGCCGGGTCTTCGCCTCTCAGGATGTCACCTTTGACGAGTCGGTCCCTTTTTACCGTCTCTTCCCCTACCGCACTGCCCCCCTCCCTCCCCCGCCGCTTTTCCTTGCTCCTGGTCCCCCTCCGGTAGACCCCCTTCCCCCTCAGGGTCCTGCTCCTTCAGGTGTCTCTCAGGTAGACCCTCCTCCCGTCGCTGAGCCTGTCGAGGTCACAGGTGACTCAGGTGCTGCTGCAGGTGGTACTGCTGGGAGTGCTGAGCCTGGGGGTGCTGAGCCTGCGGGTGCGGGGCCTGGGAGTGCTGGGACTGCGGGTGCTGGAGCTGAGGGTACTGTGCCTGAGAGTTTGCCGCCTGGGGGTGCTGAGCCTGGGGGTGCTGCGACTGGGGGTGCTGAGCCTGCGTGTGCGGAGTCTGGGGGTACTGAGTCTGGGGGTGCTGAGCCTGCGGGTACTGAGCCTGCGGGTACTGAGCCTGGGGGTGCTGCTACTGAGCCTACGGAGCCTCGGGTTACTGTGTCTGGGGGTGCTGAGCAGTCTCTCACACCGCAGCAGCTTCGTGACTGGTACGTCCGGCGCTTTCGCCGTCCTAGTGGCTCGGCTGGAGTTGGGGGTGCTGGGGCTGCTCGTCCTGGGGGTGCTCGTACTGGGGGTACTGGAGCTGCCGGGACTGGTTGTTCTGGGAGCACTGCGACTGGAGCTGCTGGAGCTGGGGACTCTGGCGCTGGCGGTGCTAGCGGAGTTGGAGCTGCCGACTCTGGGGGTGGCGCTGCTGCTGGTGCTGCGGACCCGCCTGGTGGAGCTGCTGCTGGAGCTGAGGACCTGAGCGGTGGTGCTGCTGCTGGTGCTGGGGACCCGGACGTTGGAGCTCCTGCTGGTCCTGAGGACCCGGCCACTGGAGTCTCTTCTGCTTCTGGAGACGCTGCGCGGCCGCGACCGTACTTCGTACCGCTCCTTCAGCAGGTTCTTGGGCAGGCTCCTCCTCCTTGTCCTCCTCCCTCCGTAGAGTGTCCTCCGCCTGTCCAGCCGCAGTCACAGTTACCGCCTGCCTCGCCTCTCCCTGCTCCCTCTCCTTATACTGGTCCCACAGGAGGTCTTACAGAGCGTCGTGAGCTTGAGTCTCGTCCTGCGTCGCCTGTTCGTACTGCTCGCGCTGGTAGTCGTGTCCGTCGTGAGCGTCCTCCTCCTATCCCAGGCACTCACTACATGACTCTGCGTCCCTCTACTGCTCCTCGGCGTGTCCCTCTACCGTCTCCTCCTGCGTCCTCTTTGCCTGCCGTTCCGGACCCTGAGTCTGACCGGTATCGCGCTGAGCACCCTACAGTCACGCGTCTCCTAGCTACTGTTGTCACTGACCCTACCTTTGAGTCCTCGGCTGCGTCTGCTCTGGTCGCTGAGTTGGTTGACTTTGCTGCTGCCTGTCGTCTAGACTACGCTGCTAGCCTTGTTGCTGAGCCTGAGTCTGCGTCTGTCTGTCCTCCGTCCGTCGGGGGTGAGTGTGCTCTTGGCACGGACGTCCTTGAGGACAGGCAGGAGGACCTTGACTCTCTTGCGGCTGCTGTACCTCATCTCGTGGCCTGGTTACTTGCCCCTGAGGGAGACCCGGATGCACTAGACATCCCCACTCCGCGCACTTACGCAGAGGCGATCTCGGGTCCCTACTCCTCTCAGTGGCAGACAGCCATGGACGCAGAGATGGCATCCTGGAAGTCCACAGGCACCTACGTCGACGAGGTTCCCCCTCCTGGGGCGAACATCGTCGATGGCATGTGGATTTTCAGGGTGAAGCGGCCGCCAGGTTCTCCGCCTGTCTTCAAGGCTCGTTACGTTGCTAGAGGCTTCAGTCAGCGTCAGGGGGTCGACTTCTTCCAGACCTTCTCCCCCACCCCGAAGATGACCACTCTTCAGGTTCTGCTGCACGTTGCTGCTCAGCGTGACTACGAGCTTCACTCTCTTGACTTCAGCACAGCGTTCCTGCAGGGCAGCCTGCACGAGGAGATCTGGCTGCGCCGCCCACCTGGCTTTACTGGGTCGTTTCCTCCTGGTACCCAGTGGAGCCTCCGCCGGCCAGTCTACGGTCTCCGCCAGGCGCCACGAGAGTGGCACGACACACTGAGGACTACACTTGCGGCTCTTGGGTTCGCGCCGTCTACTGCTGACCCGTCGCTGTTTCTGCGCACAGACACGTCGCTGCCGCCGTTCTACATTCTTGTGTACGTCGACGACTTGGTCTTTGCTACTGCTGACACTGAGGCACTCGCTCGTGTGAAGTCGGAGCTGCAGAAGAGACACACCTGCACTGACCTGGGTGAACTGCGTAGCTACCTTGGCTTGCAGATCACCCGGGACAGAGCTCGCCGCACCATCACCCTGACTCAGTCACACATGGTGCAGCAGGTCCTTCAGCGCTTCGGCTTCCAGTTCTCCTCACCACAGGCCACACCTCTGGCTACCAGCCACTCGCTCTCAGCTCCACCTTCGGACGAGTCCGTAGAGCCGAGTGGCCCGTACCCAGAGCTTGTAGGCTGCCTCATGTACCTGATGACTTGCACGCGACCTGACCTCGCGTACCCTCTTAGCATCCTTGCTCGTTACGTTGCGCCTGGGAGACACAGGCGAGAGCACTGGGAGGCGGCTAAGAGGGTGCTGCGTTACTTGTGCAGTACATCAGGCATGGGGCTGGTGCTTGGAGGACGCGACAGAGTTGTCCTCACTGGTCACTCGGACGCTTCTTGGGTGGACGACCTGGCTACGCAGCGGTCGTCACAGGGTTACACCTTCAGCCTTGGCTCTGGTTCTGTCTCGTGGCGGTCCACCCGCTCTTCCTCTGTTCTCGGCTCTAGTTGTGAGGCTGAGATCTACGCCACAGCCATGGCTGCACAGGAGTTACGCTGGCTCACCTACCTGCTGACTGACTTGGGAGAGCGGCCTAGTTCTCCTCCAGTTCTGTACGGTGACAACAAGGCGGCTCTTGCCTTGTGTCAGGAGCACAGACTGGAGCACAGGACGAAGCACATTGCTCTTCGCTACTTTCTTGCTCGAGAGCTTCAGCAGCGCGGTCAGCTTCGGCTTGTGTACGTGGACTCGAAGGCCAACACTGCTGATATCTTCACCAAGGCGCTCCCGCCTAGTGATCATCAGCGGCACTGTACTTCTTTAGGCCTTGTGTCCACGTTTCCTCACTTGCTCACTGCTTGACATTCTTTGTACTGTCCTTTATATATATCTTGTTGCTTGCTTGCTAGGTTTTGATCACTGTGTTGCTTGTCTTGTACTATATCTAGCACTGCATGTGAACTGGCCTTGTGGCCTTTACTTGTGCTCGGAGTGTGGTGACGTTGTGATCCACCCTGGGCTTTGCTTTGCTTTGCTTTGCTGGACTGGTCTTGTGACCCTTTGTTCTCCCCCACTTTGCCTATGGGGGTGTGTTAAACTGTAGTATGCTTGTAGGCTGTAGTGGGGTAGCCAATATGGGGTACAACCCCAACTAGGGTTTCATATTTGTACCCAAACTTCTGCTAGTTCATCCATTCTTGGCTAGTTATTCTGAAATACCTATCCACCGATGTTAGTGAGAAATCGTGGCACATTAGGACCATGTCTTTGTAATCCTCTCATTGTAGGCAAATATAGTTAATAAGCTGATGTTTAATTACATTATATTGCGACTGCCTGCCATATATTGCTAGGGATAGACACCGATACAAACAAGCACCATCCCCAAGAACCGACTTCTTACGAAAGAAAAACACCCTTCGTAACTCACCGTCGAGAGAAGTCCCCGGGAAGATTCGCGAGGATATAAACTCCATCTCAAAAGCTTTGCTGCCCAAACAAGAGACGCCGCAAAGGAAATTAATATTATTCCAGTCTGTATAAAAAGTATGAAGTAAACAAAGAATATAGTCATTTTAATGGGTCAAAAATCAACAACAAATGCCACTAAAAGACGTACAACATAAAAAAAAAAAAACAGTACATACCGAAGTCTTCGTGAAACAATCAGAAATCTTTTGACGTCCAATGCAATTCGTAAAGCTTGTCAAGGTTCTAGTGGCACTTCCTGTAGGGGGGGAATTGTATCACAAATAACTAAGAACAAGTATAACTACATAATTATGGACAAAATAAACAAAAATATACAATGTGTAAATACAAAACATGTTTAAACAAACTTTTTCTTAGAAATAAACAACCTATCAAAAGACAAAGCATGAATGATCTAAACTTATCAGAATATGAAGCATGAAAAAACTTATTTCAATAGAACATGATATAATCAAGTGTGAAAATAAATAGAAACTACAAGACACATTGGGTGCACACCTGATCTTTCTTGAACCAACCACCCGTTCTGAAAATAGCGTGGCAAATGAAACCGAGAACCTCCTTTGAAAAAACCTGTAAGATGGAAAACACTACATTTTTGGAAAGGTTAATATCAATCACCTATACAATTGTACAGGCAATTAGTGTTAGGAGGCACGATATATCCGATCTAATCATATGGCACTCTTCAAGAAATAATAATCAGATTGAATCTGATCAACAAATCAAATTACTATAGACAGCATGCCTTGAGTTAGAAAGCATAACAAAAGTAAACAGGATAGGACAGATAGAAGGTTGCACGTACTGTCAGAATATTATGCTCTAGCCTGCAGTGGGGTGCTCTATAGCGAGTACAACCCTTCTAGGGTTAGCTATTTGTACCACCATTGTTGCTAGTGCAAACCCTCTCTTTGCTTCATTCTCTCTTGCCTAGCTAGGTCAACCCTAGCTATGGCTCCTCAGTATACCCACTATCTCGACATGCTATCAGAGCAGGACGATCCTGTTGGGTCGATCCTGTGGGTGGGCCCCACCACCTCAGTCTTCCGCTGCTCCTACTACTGTCTGTGTCGCACGCCCCGTGGCGTGCGACGGATTTTTCATCCCGCCGCGCGCTCGGGGCGTGCGGCGGTTTTCTCCCCGCCGTGCGCCCCGAGGCGCGCGGCGGTTTCCTACCGTGGGGGACCCCGCGCGCCCCCGCCCTTTCCGTTGCGACGTCCTGGGGAGCCGCGCGCGGCCCCCCGCTGCCCCGATTTCCCGTCGCGCCGCCCTGGGGAGCCGCGCGCGGCCCCCCGCTACCCCGATTCGCCGTCGCGCCGCCCTGGGGAGCCGCGCGCGACCCCTCGCTGCCCCGTTGACGGCCGCGACGCCCTGGGGAGCCGCGCGCGGCCCCCGATTTCCCGTCGCGCCGCCCTACGGAGCCGCGCGCGACCCCCCGCTGCCCCTTCGCGGCGCCCTAAGGAGCCGCGCGCGGCCCCTCGCTGCCCCGTGGTGGCGTCCTGGGGGCCGCGCGCCGTCCCCCTCTCGCCGTCCCCCGCGCTCCTTCCCCCGTTCCGCCCGTTTTAGGGTTTGGGGGTGAGGAGTGTGGGGGTGGCGACTATGGGGGTGTCGGTTGTGAGTTCCTCCCCCTGCTCCTCCTCCTCCCTAGTCTCCCTCTGCTACAGCTGCCGCTGAGGGGGGTGGTGTGTGGGAGCCTAGGGTTTGGGGTTTAAGGGGGGTACCGTGGGAGTGGAGCTAGCTAGGGTTTGAAGCAGAGGGTGTGTGTCGAGGGGTGTGGGACTGGCAGGGGGAGGTTGAGCGGAGGTTGCCGTCGTGTCGTACGCAGCGCCTGTACTCCGGGGCACTCATTCCCGGTAGCTCAGAGAGCCGGTTGCGCCGTCGCCTGTGGGTCCGTTGCTCCTGCCGAGCATATTAGCCGCGGAGCCTGTTACTCCTGTACTCCGGGGCACTCATTCCCGGTAGCCACGTTGTCGCACCAGAGCCGTCTGTTGCCCGTGTGTCTGCAGCTTCAGTCGTCGCCTCCTATCTACACTCCTCTCGCCAGCCCTCCTCCTCCTCACTTGCCCCCCTGTGACTGCCTCTAGCTTTGCTCATAATTGTGAACCTTAAACTATTGCTTCTTGCTTGTGCTCAGAATGTGTGGTGACATCGTGATCCACCCTGAGCTTGTACTGCTTTGCTTGCTCTGCTGATTACACCCCACTTTGACTATGGGGGTGTGTCAGAATATTATGCTCTAGCCTGCAGTGGGGTGCTCTATAGCGAGTACAACCCTTCTAGGGTTAGCTATTTGTACCACCATTGTTGCTAGTGCAAACCCTCTCTTTGCTTCATTCTCTCTTGCCTAGCTAGGTCAACCCTAGCTATGGCTCCTCAGTATACCCACTATCTCGACACGTACCCCAATATCCTTCCTGATAATTTATGACTTTCAAAAGCAGTGTACAGCTCCGACCCCAGTAACTTGGTCAATATCTTTTGGGAGAAAAGTGATTGGAAATGTTAAATCATCAATAAAATAACAATCCGATATTTTTAGTTTATACACACCAACATTGATTTGATTGTAAATATTGAAATTTTAACCTTACAAATGAAATAAAAAGTCCTCAAAAACACTTGATGGGACAAATAATTTCCTGAAAAAAAAAACATGACAAATAAGTACACGAAATTACAAGCTTCATTAATTTGAGAAACTGAAGATTTAACAGGTTATAACAAGCATGACAAATAAGTACACGTGTATTTAATTGAAAATACAAAGAAAAATGTACCTTATCCTTTAATAGATATGTACTTTGGAACTGATGTGATAATTGAAACACTTGAAACTGCCACCTAAGAAAAATGTATGGGGAGAGAGAAAAAAAAGTTTAAACAAATATTGTAACTGATATCATTCAAAGGTGAAAAGTACTCATTAACAACAAAATTGTCAACACATGTTGCGTAGGTACAAACCTTCAAAACACTGCCTCTTATGTGTTTTTGCAGTAAACGCGCTTTCAAGTCAAACAAATTGCGAGAGAAGAATGTTGTGGACCCTCCTGAACGTATAACAGAAGTTCACATATTTGAGTAATGAATAAGGGTCAGTAATAAAAGGGGAAGAAAACAGAATGCTATTTTGTATACCTAAAGCTGACCCTCTCCAAACCAATGTCACGAGAACGAGGACCAGGAAGTCGATGAAGATCCTGCAAGAAAAGGGAAAAGACTTAATGCATAAGTCGGAAAATCAAAGAAAGAATAGTAAACAAAAATTGCAATATCCAAGGATTTGTCACTGAAAAATACAAAGTTGCTGGAGATACATACGTATGGACGCCCACACTTGCTTCATAAACGTAGGATGGTTGTGCTGGCTCGAGTAGCAAAAAGCAGAAAAGCGTTCTCAGAGTAGGAGCTAACGCGTGAGTTTAGAGCAAGTAAGAGTTTTCTGAGCATGATCTAGGAAAAGAGGTTTCAGACCATAAGCTAGAGAAAGGGATGTGAGAGCATGAGCTAGAGGAAGAGCCCCCGGAAGCATTTGCAAAATCAGTTGGTAGTGCCTGGGGTTCTAAAGCTCTGCCATTGGACGAGAAGAAACTGTCTCAGCAGAGTTGAATGTTCTTGTTGGCCTATCTAACCAATTTCGTCTAACTACTACTGTATTTGCCTAGTTGTCAAACCATTTGGCCAGTTGTCTAACCTTGCTGTCAACCTTTTGGCAATTGTAGGGACTTGATCCACCTCAAATAGGGAAAAAACGGGCTATTTTTTTACCACTTTGCCGAGGTAAAACGGTGGTTTTGAGTACGTTTGCGCACTCAAATCAGTTTAGAATAAAAACAGACTCGAACTAGATCTAGTTGTACAGTCTGGAAGAAAAAACAAGAGCATCGAATGCAATCAGATTTCAAACAAAACAATCCAACACCAAACACAATCAGGTTTCAAACGAAAGGACAAAACAAACAATGGGCCGAATCAGATTCCAAACTCAATACCCCGAAAGATAAGACAAAACATATTAGGACCGAGAAAAAAAACAAAAACAGAAAAGACAGAGTCTTGAAAAGAAACCGATTTTCTATGGAAAGTGACAAATTTCAAAAGGCATCACACACAGCTCGAGACAAGCCCCGCGATGTACACTGCGTTTTCGTTATAATCATACAATTGATTTCGATAAACAAACGTGGTCTGTTCTAATATGTTTTTAAAACGCAAATTAATTTGTTACTACTCCGTGATGTTTCTTAAATCCGATCACGCAAAGAACGACATAAAAGTGCGGAAATTCACCGCAACGATGAGACAAAAGCAATACAAATAATATGTTTATTGCTATTATCATTATTACAAACGTTTTATGCTTAACT